CTCTCATTTAACAACTTCTACACCGCTGTTGGGAACGCTGTGGCCTGGGGAATATAGGTCATGTGGAGAGTGTGGCTATTTATCTGAATGCTTTGTGGGGCAGTGCCACCAGAGTCAGCTTTTTCTCTGCACCCCAGAAGACAGGTATTTGGAGGGCAGTGGGGGGCTGGTTGGCTGCAATCTTCCTTTTTTTCCCATTGATTTTCCTGGGTCTGGTTTATGGTCAATTATGTAAACATGACCACATCGTATCTTAGAAAAAGGATAACAAAAATGACCTTTGGAAAATACCTAAAAGTATAATATTGTTGTTAAGTGCTGTCAAGTTGGTTCCAACTCATAGCAACCCTGTATAGGGTTTCCAAGGAGTAGCTGGTAGATTGGAAAGGCTGGCCTTGTGGTTCAAATCAATTAAAAAAAATTTTTTATTGTGGTGAAAATATACACAAGGCTTTTACCAACTCAACAGTTTCCACAAGTACAATTCATTGACATTGATCATATTCTTCATGTTGTACAAATGTTCTTGCTGTCCTTTTCTAAGTGATTCCACCCTCATTAACAGAAACTCAGTGTTGCTTATCTTCTTAGTTACCTTGTGATGCTACAATAGAAATATCACAAGTAAGTAGATTTAATGAGCAGCAATGTATTTTCTCACAGTTTAGGATGCTTAAAGACCAAATTCAGGGCAATAGTAGAAGGTTTGCTCTCTCTATTAGCTTGAGGGATGGCCTTTTGTCTTTTTTCAGTCTCTGTTCCTTAGTCTCTTCACGGGGTCTGGCATCTTTCCGCCATTTCTTCTTGCTTCTCTGTGTATAATCTGATAATTTTCTATCTCAAAGGTTTAAAACACCCCATATTGATATGAAGGAGTCCTGCTGTGGTGCTGTGGGTTAATGCGCTGGACTGCAAAGTCGGTTTGAACCACAAGGTCGGTAGTTCAAGCTCACCAACTGCTCCTCAGAAACCCTATTGCAAGGTCTCTATGGGTCAGAACTGACTCTACTATGGCACTTAAGATCAACAACAACACTGATATAGCTTCATTAACATAACAAAGAAAACCTTATTCCCAAATGGGAATATATCCACAAGTATAAATAAACCCATTGCCATGGAGTGAGTATTCCAACCTACCAACATAGGACAGAGCTGAGTTGTCCAGTAGGGTTTCCCAGCCTTCCACTTATAATGTTGTTGTTAAATGTCGTCAAGTAGTTGCCAACTTATAGCAGCCTTGTATAGGGTTTCGGAGGCTGTAAATCTTTGTGATAGCAGAAAAGCCTTGTCTTTCTCCTGCAAAGTTGCTGGTGGGCTCGAACCACCAACCATGTGTCTGGTGCTTATCCTACAGAGTCACAGTGCTCCATTCCACACATATAGGAGTCAGAATTTACAACACATAGTTTATTGTTTTTGTTCTTGTTGAGTGCCGTCAAGTTGATTCTGAACCATAGTGACCCTGTATAGGGTTTCCTAGGGGAAGCTGGTATGTTTGAATTGCCGAACTTGTGGTTCACAGTCCAGTGCTGATCCATATTTTAGGGGGACAAAATTCAACCCATAACACACCTTAAGCAAAAATTCACCTTTCCCGCCTGACTCCTACCGTTCTTGTTGAGTGCCCTAGAGTTGGCTCATCCGTGTTGGACTTCACTTCTCTTTATGGCTGAGTAACATTCCTTTGTTGTATATATACGCCATATTTTTCTTTTTTTACCCATTGATCTTGATGAACATTTCAATTTCCACCTTTTGTCGATTATAAAAAAGATTGCATTGGATCTCGTTGTACAGGTTTCTCTTTGTGTTTTTGTTTTCTCTCCTCCTGGGTTTTTTTGTTTTGTTGTTAAGTGCTGTTGAGTCGATCCCAACCCATTGCGACCCTGTATAGGGTTTCCGAGGAGCGGCTGGTGAGCTTGAACCGCTGACCTTGCAGTTCAAATGGCTTTGTAGTCTGGCGCATTAATCCAATTGAGATTTCTGGGTTATATGATAGTTTTACCTTTTTGAGGAACAAGCAAACTGTTCTTTATAGCACCCTTTCATAATCCCACTAACAGTGGATGAGGGTTCTAGTTTCTCCAAAACCTTGCCAACATCAGTTGTTTTATTGATCATGGCCACTCAAGTGGGAGTTTTGATTTGCTTCTCCCTAATGGCTAATGGTGTGGCACTGTGGGTTAATGCGTTGGACTGCAAAGATGTTTGAACAACAAGGTTGGCAGTTCCAGCTCACCAGAAGTGCACCTTTCTGCTCCTCAGAAAGCTATAGGTTGGAACCAACTCGACAGCACTTAACAATAACAGTGGCTAATGACATTGAGCATCTTCACAGGTACTTGTTGGCCATTTGACTATCCTCTTTGGTAAAATGCCTGTTCAAGTCTTCTGCCTCCCTCCCTTGTAATGTTTATTCCAAAAAAGTATTTTATTTTTGGTGAAAATATGAACACCAATTTGTTGTTGTTGTTAAGTGCCTTCGAGTCAGTTCCAACTCACAGCGACCCTATATAGGGTTTCTGAGGAGCAGCTGGTGAGCTTGAACCACCAACCTTGTGGTTCAAACTGATTTTGCAGTCTAGCGCATTAATCTACAGCACCACTCTAGGACTCCATGAGCACCAGTATATGCTCCCATTTAACAATTTCTACACTTAATGATCAGTGACTTTGGTCCAACATTCTTGTTATTTCTCCTCTAATTGTTTCAGTCCCATCACTACCCTCTAAATATGGGGTCCTGATGTTTGAAGGCCGCAGTAGTTACATACTCGACTGATAATATAATAAGGTTAGTGATTAGAACCTTCTAGTTGCTCCATAAGAGAAAGACATAAGCAGTCTGCTTCAACAAAGATTTATAGCACTGGAGACTGTTTGAAGCAGTTCTATCTTATCTTACAGGATTACTATGATTTGGAAACAATTCACTGGCAGTGAACTTGATTTGCTTGGTTTGTTTGTTGCCCCATTCTCCCCACTCCCCCCACCCCAAAAAACAACAACAACTTCTCATCTGTGTTTAGAGTTACCATTGTCCCTTTGGTATTATAAAGGTAATTAAAAACAAAAATACTTAAGAATGACATTCTTGACTTTTTGAGTGAAACTTTTTTGTTTGTTTGTTTAAAGATGTCTTCAGAGGATAGTTTCATGTTAAAGTTTAGAGAGTATACCAGGGCAATAATCTATGAGGTTCCTCAAGCTCAGTGAGTCTGGTTGTTTTGAATTCTTTGGGAATTTGAAGTTCTGTTTCACATTTTTTCCCTTTCTATCAGGATTCATCTACTGTGTCCTTGATCAAAACATTTGGTAATGGTTATTGGTAAGTGCTGTCAAATTGGTTCCGACTCAGCAATCTTGTATGCGGTTTCCAAGGAACATATGGTGGGTTTTAACCACCAACTCTGTGTTAGCAGTCCAGTGCTGATCCTAAATCAATACAGGTGGTGTGGCACTACCCAGTTCTTCTGATCACTTTCTAGTTGCTTCTCTAATTCTTCGATTTCCTTCCTTTATTTCTTCAGGCAAACACAGACCAGTTGTATCTTGCATTTGTTATTGTTAAGTGTCATTGAGTCAGTTCTGACTCACAGCGACCTTTTGTGGGGTTTCTGAGACTTTAAATCTTCACAGAACAGAAAGCCTCATCTTTCTCCCATGGAGTGACTGGTGGGCTCAAGCTGTGGACATTGTGATTCACAGCCCAGTGCTTATGGTATGAAGCCCCTGTGTTCCTGTACCTTGGATGGCCGCTCTCAAATTTTAAGACACTAGACACTACTCACTGAACTGGAATGGGAGATAGAACAGAATCTTTAAAACCATCATTATGCCATTTTGACTGGATTGTCCCAGGAGACCCTGGCCCTAAACCTTTTCTTCAAACTGAGAAAACTAGTCTCATGAAGTTTTTGGTTATATCTAAGTAGTATTAACAGCTGTAGCCCCTTCTCCCCCTTTTGGTGTTACTCCAGAATTATATATGTTGTGGTTAAAAGTGCTGTCGAGTCAGTTCTGACCCATAGAGACCGTGTATAGGGTTTCTGAGTTGCAGCTGGTGAGCTTGAACTGCCGACCTTGCAGTTCAAATGGCTTTGCAGTCTGGCGCATTAACCCACAGCACCACACCAGGACTAAGATAGTGAAAATATTCATTATCCTCAGATGTTTCCTTGTGCCCACCTACCTCCTACCTTCTCTGTCCTCCATCTCCCTCCTTTCGTCAATCCCCAGACACTTAGACCATCACTGAAACACTAATCTGTTGCTTTCTGCCACTGTATAAAAGTTTGTAATTTTTAGAATTTCGTGTAAGTGTACTACACTTCTAATAGGAGGAAGCTTCAAAAATATTGTGGAAAAATTCTATTATCATTTCATTTTTCCATAAACTTTTTGAAACCCTCTCCCTCAGATGTACTATTTGTACGTCTGAGCCATTGCCTCTCCTTCTCTTTCCTTCCTCCACAGTGTGAGCACAAGAAGGCCTGCTTGATGCCATCTTGGCATGGTGCTCCCTCCTGAGTTCATTCTGAATGTGCACACATGGCTCAGCAATAATCTGACCAGCTTTGCATCTTATACCTGAACTGTGTCTGACTGGCAACATTCAGGAGAGAGGAAAAGCCTTGGGAAGGCAGTTCAAGTGCATAGCCCGTAGCAGGTTCATTTTCCCACTCAGCTCTGCTGTTGCACTCAAGGACTGAGCACAGTCACCTTCAAAGGCCTAGATTACAAGCACTGACTGGAGGAAAGACCAGGAAGAAAACCTACGAAACTTCTCCTCAGCACTAGTGCACAACTTACCAATGCAGGGCATTCCCTTTGATCCCAGTCATGGCCAGTTCTTCTTCCCAGGGTATGTGGACAGATTGTGCCTCTGTGAGGGAGTTGATTTTATGAGCTTTGCCTTTTCTAAGACTGTGTTTGAGGTCTGAGTCATATTTTCTGGAATATTCCATCTCTTTGAACTCTGTCCCTTTGATCTTATGATGGTGACGTTTTCAGCATCTGGGAAGTACCTCTTTGAGCAGCTAATCACCTCTCTGGTGCAGGTGGACAAAAAGCATAGGCTTTTTGTCAAGAAGAGGTAGTCTGTCTGTGCCTCTCCATCTTGCTTAGATTCTTACACGAACATGCTAGCCAACTGAAGGAGACTAGATTTGTCTTAGCACAAGCGCATTGACATTACTGGTGCATTTGTGATTCAGAGACTGGAATTCTCAGCAGACTGCAGGCAGACAGCCATATAGCTTGAACAGCAGAAATGTCAGAAAAATTGGTCAGAGGGTTCTCTCCACCTCACATAGAGGAAGTAGCAAGTGAAATAAAAGCACTTCAGCTCTGATAAGAAGACAGAGAGTTCTAATATCTCACCTGATCACTCTTGTGAAGAGCAAATGTTTCAGAGATGTGGGTGCTTAGAAAAAGTTGTCAGAAACTCAGGAACTTGGAGTCCAGCTGTGTCTTCATTATCCAGCAGGGTGGTTTTGTGGGGGAGTATTTACTGCTGCTTCTTCACTGAGGTTTCACCTTTGCTTAAGTTCCCACCCCTCCTTGATATTAAAGGCCACATTGAAGAAGAATTCTGATCATGCGGAACTTCTCTTGGGATAGCAAGATGGGTATTTTTGGAGACTCTAATGAAGCAAATTTTTCTTGACTGGTGTGTCTGCCTATTAGAGACTCTAAGTTGATACTCTCTGCTACTGTATTGTAACACTCAGCAAAACAGAGTTAATTGTTTGTTTAAAGAACAAATTATTTTTCCTTAAAATAGTTTTGATTACAAAGGTCTGATCAGCAACTGAGGGTGGTGAAGACACAGGATGGGCAGTGTTTCATATTGTTGTGCATGGGGCTCCCATGAGGTGGGAGCTGACCTGATGGCAGCTAGCAACAATAATAATGTATGAACATGATGAAAAATTCCAACATTAAAAGGGGAATATTATGAAAATAACTCCCACTCATAACCCCTGGGCACCTCTTCCCTCAGCCTCTAGAGACAGTTGCTGATAATGGTTGCTTTCAGAGATACTCTATGTATATACAAGGGGAAGTAAAAAAGCATTGGGCTCCAATTCACATATACATATAGTTTATTCCACGCAAAACCTGTTTACACATGTCTGCCATCAGTGGATGGCTGCAGACAAATTCTTCCCGTAATATACTTGCTTTAGTCTTCTTAGGGTACCTTCAAGAAGAAGGTTCAATCACAATAGAGGCTTCTGAAGGGATATGCTGGACCTGTTAAATTCAGGTCATGGTGACTGTTTCTCAGTATTGTAGGATCAGTACTGGACTGCTAATAGCCAGGTTGGTGGTTCAAACCCTACCATTGCTCCTTGAAAACCCTAACTGGGTCATTATGAGTTGGAGCTGAATATATGGCATTTAGCAACAACAACAGTCTTGATAGGTGTTCTCAGGACAGTCATGGGGGCATACTATGAATACATTTTAAGAAAAGAATAAATTGAATTGGTGAGAAAAAAGCCAGAAAAGTTGTGCCAAGGATATTTTTTCCATCCCGACAATATACCTGCTCATTTTTGAAGGTAGCAGTCTACCTTATGACAATGTTGTTAAGAAACCTTACCATCCACCCTAAGACCCCCTCAGCCTGCTTTTGCCCCAACTCAAAAAAACATTTAGAAGAAACACAATTTGAGTCCCTTGAAATGCCAACATTGCCATTTTGATGGGGTATAAATCCAAGAGCACAGAATTCTTTGGGGGAAAGATTAGACAGATGGAGACACTGCCTTCAAACATGTATAGACCTAGAGGGAATGTACATTGAGAAACAACAGCGTCACATTTTGAAATATTTGTTTCATAACGTTTTCAGTGATTTTGTAGTAATACTTTTGATTTATACTTATTCAAGAAAATACCCCCCAAACAAAATCCTTTGTTGTCAAGCTGATTCCAATTTATAGTGACCATACAGGACAGAGCAGAACTCTCCCCAGGCTGAACTCTATGGAAGGAGACTGCAACTTCATCCTCCTACAGAACCAACTGATTTGAACTACCAGCCTTTCAGCTAGCAGTCAGTTACTTCAATTACTGCGCTCCCAGGGCTCCTTGTTATAAGAAAATAGTTATTCATGTTACCCCATTTGTCCACTAGACATGTGATTTATTTAAATAGTCCCTTATTGATGGATATTGATTGTTTGCAATCTTTTTGCTATTGAAAGCAAACTTGTACTGAATATCTGTAGGATATTTCTATAAATAGAATTGCTGATCATAAGGTATATTCTTTTTAAATCTTGACAGACAGTTCCAAAATAGCATATTCTGTTTCTATGCAGAAAGACTCTGAACTCAAATTTGTAATATGAAGAAGATGTTTTGTTTCATCTGGGGATGACAATATAAACTCTTTGTATTTATAAGAACTACCCTGCCCAGGATCGGACATTGTTTCGTTCTGCTGTGCAAGGGGTCGCTATGAGTCGGTTCTGACTCGATGGCACCTGACAACAACAATAACCCTGCCTTCTATGCTAATTCCCAAGTGGTACATTTTTAAAATTGCATATTTACTTTGTTCACTATTTCATGGAATCAATTCATTAACTCTCTACGAGCATCTCCAAGATCAGAATCTTGTTATCAGTAGAATCCTTTTGAGTTATCTAGCAGAGTTTTCACTTTTATCTAGGCTGAGACTCAATATTTTTTCTGTTTCCTAAGGTAAAAATACAATGTCAAATACCTCAGGACAGTTGTTTTTGTTTTGGCTAGGTGGGTGATTACTAACTAGTGAACAGCTCTTGTTATTTCATGATTACATCTCAAGCTTTGGCCTAGTGATCTCTTGTTCATGCATATAGTCACTGCAGTATTTAGAAAATGTTACCATCAGAACCACCAACATTACCCCTGGTCACGTAGATACCCATATGGCCTGCCTCATGGCAACCTGGGTATTAGATCACTTTATGGTTCACCTCAAAGTTTTTTCAGAGGGAAGAGAGATGCTTGTATTGATTGCAAAGTGTCACTGACCTCTTGTTGGGACTCTACACCTCTGCTTTTCATATGGAAAGTCTGAGCCCTTTGTGAGTATTTAACACTTCTCCCAGTAAATTAGAAGCCTGAACCTGCAGGCCCAGGCCAAGGAGCATGCCCAGAAGGGGTGGGGTGTAGGAGGTGGGGATGAGAATAAAGCAGGGAGGGCTCCTTTCTCTGGGGCTGACGTTCTTGGGGCCCAAGGGTTGATCCAAGAAGCAATATTTTGGGATTGTGGCACTTCGCACATTGACCTATGCCAAAGAGTAAGTGGTTCCTTCATTCAACCTTCAAACACCCCTGTGAAGAGATGACAGAAGGCTTTTAGGACTGAACTTCCCCCCATGGATTATTGTAGATGTCCAGTGAAACTGAGCCTCAGAGGAACCTATAACCTAATCTGAATTGAGCATGATGAGTAGAAATTTTCATTTTAGAACCAGTTGAGGAAATTTACACCCTGTCAAGTTGGCCTGGCCTACATGTATCTGGGCCAGCCTCTACACAGTTAAATAGACGGCTCTTGGCCCCCAGCAACCTTATGACCGGTGGCTACTGATAAAATGCTGCAGGATTTACAGGTGATGAAGGGATGCCCTCTGGCATGGTAAGAAACATTTCAGGGTCTACCCTGATTGTTGTTGTTATTATTAAGTACTATCGAGTTGGTTCCTACTTATAGCAACCTATAAAGTGTTGCCGAGGCCCAGCTGGTAGGTTTGAACTTCTGACATTGTGGTTTGAAGTCCAGTGCTGATTCTACAGTGCCATACCCGGAGTCCTATTTAGATACTTTGTTGGTGTTAAGTGCCATGGAGTCAATTCAGACACATAGCGACCCTGTATAGGATTTCTGAGGAGAGACTGGTGAGTTTTAACAGCCGACCTTGTGGTTCAAACTGACCTTGAGGTTGAGTGCTTATCCTCAGGCACCACAACCAAATCACCTAAAAGACATGATCACACATATATTTCCTTACTTGGTTTTTGGGCCCCAAGAACTTCAGCCTCAGGGAAATGAACCTGCAACTTCTAGCTTCTAATTTACTGGGAGAAGTGTTAAATACTCACAAAGGACCTCAGGCTGGAGAAGCCTCATTAACAACCTGTGATATGCAGATGACATAGCCTTGCTTGTTGAAAGGGAGAACTTAAACTACTTACTGATGAAGATCAAAGATGATAGCATTCAGTATGGATTGTACCTCAATATAAAGGAAACAAAAATACTCAGAACTGGACCAATAAATAACATTATGATAAATGGAGAAAAGATTGAAGTTGTCAAAGACTTAACTTGAATCCACATTCAAAGCTCATGGAAGCAGCAGTCAAGAAATCAAATGATGTATTGCATTAGACAAATTTGCTGCAAAATGCCTCCTTCAAGTGTAAAGCAGAGATATTAATTTGAGGACTAATGTGCACCTGACCCAAATGACAGTATTTTCAATCTACCTCATATGCATGTGAAAGTTGGACAATGAATAAGGAAGACTACAAAACTGATGCATTTGAATTATGGTGTTGGGGAAAGTTACTGGAAATACTGCCAGAAGAACGAACAAATCTGCCTTGGAATTACAACCAGAATGCTCCTCACAAGGATGGTGAAACTTCATCTCTTATACTTTGGGCATATTATCAGGAAGGCCCATTCTCTGGAGAAGGACATCATGCTTGGAAAAGTGGAAGGTCACCGAAAAACAGGAAGACTCCAGTAAGATGGATTGACACAGTAGCAGCAGTAACGGGCTTAAACGTAACAATGAGTGTGAGGATGGTGCAGGATTGAGGAGTGTTTCATTCTATTGTGCAGGAGATCGTCATGAGCTGGAAACAATTAGATGGCAACTAGCAATAACAACAACACATACATCAAAGGTAAGAATTATACTTAAAACAAAACAAATCCTTACAATGTAAATACCCTTATCCTACCTAAACAACAACAAAATAGTTAGTCCTTAATATTACCAAATACATCATCTGAACTTTAATTTTCCCATTTGTTTCAAAGACATTTTCCTCATTTGTTTAATAAATCTACAGACTTAT